TCTTCTTTTTTTTTATCATTTTATGTATAATATTATCTATCAAGTAAATCTTATGTGAATTAAAACTAACAACCATTTTGATGGGAGGAGGTGACATTATCTTTAAAAATGCTACATTTGGTTTTCATCAGTAAAATGTCTGTGATACATTTTGGGGGAAACAAAAAAGAAAAGAAAATTTAAACTTTACCCTACACTCCTACCAGGAAGGACGAGTGGTTTTGTTTAAGTTTCATGTTGAAGAAAACATAGCTTGATAAAACTTACAAATAGTTAATAGCTGCTGGATTATCAGACTCAGTGATAAAAGGGCTTGGTGTTGCTATACTTCATGAATGGTCGGACTATATTTCAAAATTCTGATATTTCCCTAATTAGCAATAAACCAACAACAGAACAGAGTTTGGAAATACGTTTTTTTTTTGTTTCTTACCAAAGACAAGTAGGCCTTAGTGACAGTGCGGTCCTTAAAGCAGCGGTAAGCCCTTCCGGCAGCAGCTTTATTAAGAGCGACACAAAGAGCTCCGCTGGTGGAAAAATCCAACTGGTGACAAAATCTGTTGGAAGAAATAAAAACTAAAATAATGCAACTATTTATGAGGCGTAACGAAACTGGATGCATGAATTAATGTGGTTGCTAACCTGAACCCATAGTACGTGCTGGGGTCTGCCAAATGGGGGAAGTGATGGAGAAGCTGCAGCTGCACGGTCTGCTTTTCGTACCACATCTTGCTGTCTATACGGACATCCCAGTGTTTGTCCACAACGATGTAGTCGTCGCTCTGGTACAACACACGCAGGCTCTCAATGCTGGCTGGCTCCGAACTCATCCTGCGCAGCTGTCAGTCAATGCAGCCCCGCAGAGACTGGATCGGGACTTCTGACCCAAAGGAGTCAACAACAACAACAACAACAACAACAACAACAAGAAAACATATTGAGTAATTACAGTTTTTACTTTAGAGTTAATACCAGGTTTTTAATTTCTGGCTGCATTAACACTTTGCCTCCATATCAGTCAAAACTCATGTAACAGCAGTCTGAATGTCGAGTTAATAGAGCAGTATTCAACAAAATGTTTATCCTTTCATTGTGAGCAACTCTTTAATAAATGAATAAGAATGTTTTTAGCTGCGTTAAACCACCATTATACTGTAAAAAGTAAGAGCATAGTGGTGTGGTTTATGAATTCCAAACAAATAAATACATTTCAATGGCACCACCAAGATGCAGTGAAGTTTTAGTTAGCATGTTATTAGCGCTGTTGTTTCACCTTTAAATTATTAAACAATTCACAGCTATAAAGCACGCCCAATACGGACATTTGCCCGGCAACGAAACACGTTGTTACATCGCTTTAAATAATTATTTACCTTACGTCCTATTGAGGTTAAATGTGAGGAGCTTATTTCCAAAACATGTAAACAAAACCACGTCTCATGGATCACTTGTGCGCAGGCGCGTGTTCTTCTTTTCTCGTTTTTGTTAGTCCGTCGGGATTATGTCGCCACCTTCAGGTTATGTAGCCCAATGACAGTCATGTTAAAAATTACAGCAAAAAAAAAAAGAAAAAAAAGAGAGAGCGGAAGATAGTGCGAATCGCTCTATTTTATCATTTCTGTGGATCTACACAGAAATGATAAAATAGAATAGTTACTGTCTCCACCTTTGTTTAATAAATAAAATAAATAATGAACATGGAATTAGAATAACATATTATGCAATTCAACCGTCTCCTGTTTTAATTGTTTTGGGAGGTTTGTTCAACAAAAAATGGAAGAAAAAAAGAATAAAGCAATTAATCACATCATCAGTATTGTTTCGTATTTTCCAAATTCATTTGACATATTTTTTTATATTCTGATACTTTAATCTGACATACTTTTCTGTTTGTCCTTAGAATATTGATTATTTTACTTTCATATTTGATAGATCTAATTTTTTAAAGCTGTCCTATTCTGATCCAGAACTGTTACTTTCAATTACTGGCCAGTTTTTGTCTTTTCAAGTCCAAAATAAAGTGGAAGTGTTATATGCTACATTAATGTAATGTTCTTTGTAAAGGACTTCCCAAATCTGCATTTGTAAATTAGTTTTCAAAGCATTTCAAGTGTTTCCTATTCATTTGCTCTTAATTTAAAGAACCTATTTTTTTTTTCATAGATACAAACATGAATCCCAAAAACTAGTAAATAGTCAGTGACATCAATGGTCAGTAACCTGCTTTTCTAAACTACCTTTCATATTATATTTGTGAATATAGTGTTAATTAGTGGAGCAGAGTGAGTTGTTCATATGCCTGGCCTGGTTAGTGCTGGTGGATTTTCCGTCATTTTAGGTTATAATTATAACAGATTAACTAAACCGCTTTGTTGATTCTTGGCTCAGTATTTCTGCCCAGTGTCCTCTCTGCAGGTGGTCGCCTATAGAGAAGATAAACAAAGTTCACGTGATCTCAGTCCTAGTCATAGTGTGAATGACCTCACAAGAGATTAAACACCTGGAAATAATCCGCAGACAGATGGGACTGTTTGCACTAAAACCCATATGTGTCTGTGTGTTTAGTTTTTTTTTACGTAAGCTCTCAGGAAAAACATAATTCCAATGTCAAGCGATGACCTCACATGGTCCAAAGCTCATGGCAGATTGTTCTGAATCACCAGAGAATATCCAGCACACTCCACCTGCGGGTAATCCCATCACGCTGCAGGTATGGGTCTGTTTCTCCAGCTAAGATGATTAACAGTTATTATATAAGCCATATTTCATAACTCAGTTTGGTTTTCTGCGTGTTGTGTGTGTACATTCATCAGAGCTGAGTTCCTTGTCATCGGTGTTTCGTCTGTCGTTGCGTAATGTTTCACCGGCGCGCTCGTCAGGACGATGCACCTGCAGCAAAGCTTTGCACTCGCAGAAACAAAGAACTGCATGTGACTCGGCAGGCCTACGTCAACCCTAGAAATCACAAAAGTTTCAGTTAGATGACAGACAAAGAGGAGAAGATGACAGGCGTTGCACCGTACCAATTCAATCCGCTTACAGAGGATGTAGTTCAGTTCTACCTCAGTCCTTAATGGGATATTCAAGTTGAGCAAATCTCAGACACCAACTGGAACTGGAACAACTTTTTGTGAGAGATTTTCTCTGTGTTTTTTGTTACCTTGCTGTCTAAGGAGAGTCCTGGATGCTGTTGGTGTTGCAAACTCTTTGCCAGCTAAACCAACACACTTCATTTTTGCTTCACTCTTTGGATCCAGGACTTGCTGGATGAATCTTTTGATGCAGCTTTGTAAATAAGGCGTGCCTTTGTAAAGGGTTCACCATGCCTAAGTCATTCCTGCAGGCTCGTTGCGATGAGCCCATCATGATATCGGACTGGGGCCTCCCTCTGCTGCTGGCGCTGCTGCTGCTGGCGCTCCTCTACTCCTTCCTGTACCTTCCTGCCGCGGCCCAGCGAGCCCTGCTGGAGCAGGCGCTCAGCGGCAACAACACCACCGTAGCGACTCTGAAATGAGTGCAGTGATTGACAAGGACACGTTATTTGTCAATGGACATCTGCAGGCTTCTTTGTTATCGTGTGACCATCCCCTGGATCAAGTATGATTTTTTTGTTTGTTTTTAGACGGATAATAGTTCTGTTTGCCAGCTAGCTTTCATGTGATGAAAGTATAAAACCCATTAGGGTTGATTTTCCTGAGCTGAAAGTGTGAGGAAGGTCTTTGTACTTAAGTTGTCACAGATTCACTGCAAATGCAAGGAAGTGTCAGATGTATTACAGACATGTTTTACCTTAAGCATGGGCACACCAAAGTTTTGGAGATGTTCTCGTTCGGTTTCATTTCCCTCTGAACAGATGAGTCGTTTCTGTATTTGTTTCCCCCATACATGCAATGTGACCTTTTTTTTCTGTTAGTTTGTCTTGTTATGTTGTCGTTTGATCCACCACTCTTCTGGTTATTTAATAAGAGGAATAAAATAAGAAAAAAAGAAAGAAAATCAAAAGCGTCAATGTTTTTTTGCTCAAAACAGAGTTCTGAATAAAAAGAGGACTTCAAACGAAAATCTGAGCTCATTAAGCCAAAAAGTTGTTTTTGATTTAGATATTTTTTGTATTAAACTGTCTTGTGCTGCATATGATCACATTTAAGGTATTGGCTTAGTGCGTTACCGTGAACATACATTTTCCAAAAAAAAAAAAAAAAACCCTTCAGTTGTTTTTGCAAAATAAACCTGTCCACCTTACAGTGCCCCCTAGTGGAGGGTTTCTGGCCTAACTCATGTAGTCACTCAAGGATTTTATACCATGGCTTTCAATTTTTTGAAAGTAGAAGAAAATATAAATTGACTTTACCAAAATTTCAACAAATCAATCCATCCATCCAGGACTTACATTTATAATTTCATTACTACATTTAATGACTTTAGGAAAGCTCTATTCTTGATTCAAAAAGGATAAACATTTCAAACAAGACATCTTAGCAGCTGTTTTAAATTACCTTTATTAAACAATACATGATACTGGAATTTGACAGCGATGCAGCTCTTTAGCTGCAGGAGGCAAAAAGATACAAAGAGTTTCCAGGTTTCTGTGTCTTTCAGCCTGACCTTGCACCAACTATGCCTGCTTCTTTTAGCAGGCGCTGACATCACAATAAATGTGCTAATTGTTTTTCTTCTTAATTTTTGTGTGACATTAAGTTCCTTAAATTCCTTAATGAAGAATCTCGCTCAATCATGCAAAACCCAACAAGCCAACATTTACAATTAGTCTCAGACCACAACAGTTCACTCAAACGGAGCTTCATTTATCAGTAAGTCCAAATATGTTCACCTACAATGACAACAGCATACTCAAACACAGCACAGGAGTGTTATTTCGCATATTCTACGAGGTATCCATGTACTCCAAAGATCTCATAGCCTCAAAGCAAAACATTATTTACATCTCACATCCATGATATCTACAAGTGAAAAGAGGATTTAGTTCAGATTTTTTTTTAATGTGAATAGTATCAAAGGACCTACATGCATTTCTTTCTACATTATACACAGTTCAGGTACAGGTTTTCAACCGTGTGCTCTTTCAAAAAGTGCCAAAAAAACCCCCCCAAAACAACAACAAATGAATGGGAATGAAAACAACTAAACAATAATTTTAGCCTGGTTGTAGAAGACCAAACATTAAACACGGCAGTTTAAAGGCATTTATCATCATTTTGATCATTTTTCCACTTCAGTTGTGCTAAGGCTTATAGCACACGCTGTTTATATTCACTTTCAAGTCTGAAATTGAGAATTATGAGAAAAGGTGTGAGAGCAAACAAGCAGAAAGCAGCAGCAGAGAATGCTAAAAAATGATGACATGAAGATTGTTGGCATCATTTCATAACACAAAGTAACTATTCCAAGGATTCCTGTTCCAGTTCATTCTGTAAAGTGATGATTTATATCACAATTTATCAAGTGAGGATGAGGGAATCAAGAGAAATGTTGTCCAAGTGCAACACTAAGGAAACTCAACAAACCAGCACCCTACAGGGATTTAAAAGCACTTAATCATATTTTCAGTTAACCTTTAATTTAACAAAAATGATTATTAACTTATTATTAAAAGTATAACTGGAACTTTTTTTTAATATTATGCAGCATTCAGATAGATGTCATATCTGCTTCTCTTGTGACTAGCGTCGTCACTCTGACGTACTCGAGCATTCATCAGCCCTTTCCTGCAAATAAGTTTATCACAAAACACAATTTCTTTCAGTTTTATTTCACAGAGCAGTCCTTGTTTAAGTCTCGCTGTTCTCATTAGAGGTTTTGTACTGGAAACAGAAAACATCGAATGTAACATTATTTTCTGTCCAGCTGTAGACTCACTAATTGACTAATGCATTAACTGTTCTAGCGGTGGCATAAAGTTGGTTCAGAAGACTTGTTTTTTTCATTTGAAAATAATTGTATGGTCATTTTTTTTAATGTTTTCTGGTTCTGAAATGTGATGATATTTGTCCTTTAAACTGCAATTCAGCTTTTAGGTTCAAAACATATATGCTTTTTAATCATTTTCTTTTGACAACAAAAGCTTATGACCCCAGAGTGATGGAAAGTTATGAAATTACGAGTGTTGAAAAGCCAGTAACGTGCGTTTAGACACAGCTGTCTTTGCTCTGCTGTTGATGGCAGCACATGTGAAGCTTGTAGTCCAGCTTCACTGTGTTTAGCACGGTATTAGATGACTCAGGAAGTTGGAAATAGTCTAATACTTGTCTTTGTAGAGCGTAAATAAAAGTTTTAAGTTTCTACAATGTTTACTATACGGAAGATGCTTGGAAAACGATTCATGCCCCTTGAAACTTTTTCAAGGGGTGTACCCTGGTTATTCTGACAGTCTGCATTAAAATCCAGTGGAAAAATGTAGAAAACCGTATCGTTTTCCAGATACAATTAGAGTAGGGCATATGAGCTTCTACCAGCTCCTGGCAAAGAAAATATATCCCCCCCCACCATTGCTGATCTCCATATTTACCACAAAGGTGTTGGGTGGAGGACCAGGATTACTGAAGCAGTTTATGTTAGACGTCCATGTCCAATCTCTGGTTCTATCACGCTTTTATTGCTTCCAAACTAGTTCGGTTCCACTGAGCCACAGTCAAAATGAGTTAATTTCTAATTAATTGATTAATCCACCCACTGTTTTTAATATCCATTCATGTCGTACTTTGTCATTTCCCACCATAAAATGTGTGTTCGTATTACATATAAAGTGTACATGTTATCTTTTTATACTACTGCATCCAGATCAGACCACTTCTTCTAGAAAACGTTTGTTGTCAGCGAGAATATCTCAGACCTTCTGCATCAAAATCATTATTTTTACATCACAAAAACATGGAGTCAAACAAAATAACTCACACAAACTGTTTTTTTTTTCTTCTGACCGTAACTCTCAACACACCAATCAAACCCCCATCAAAGACTCGATGGACACCAGTTAAAAGACACGTGAAGAAACACGATTGCAGAAAATATCACTGCAACTCCTTTTCTTTCTTGCGGTTGTTGAACGTACATAAATGCAAAACGGGTCGATGATTCCCAAAGCAATTGACAGCTGAAAGGAGCACGTCTTTTTCCTGCATTCATTGTGTGCGTTTGTTTGGGTTCGGCACCCCGGGAGATGCTGTGTCCAATCATTTGAAGCTGGACACTAATTACTGTCCAGAGTTCCTCCTTGGTGTCCAAGAGGATTTAATTGGATCAACTACCCGGTTTTAAGCAGCGTGTTCGCCTTCCTGTCAGTGTTTTGCACTACCTCGACTGTCCCAAAAACAATCTTTCAGTAAATCAGAACAAACAGATCTTGCAGGTACCTGCAGCTTCTATAGTTTTACACCATCCCATGTTAAATATCCTTCTGCCAAGTTTCATTATGTGCTTAAAACTGACTCTCTGTGATAGGCCACATGACAAGATAAGGCAGATAGGAGAAACATGAAAAGCATAAACCATATCAGGATTAATCGAGATAACCTAGAAAAGAAGAAAGTGTAAAGAAAATGTGACGAGACACCTGCAAACAGCTTCCTGTCTCAGCGAGCGTGATTACGGAAAGGAAGAAGATGACACAGTGGCAGGGTACGGTAAATAAAAAGCAGGAGAGGAAGCAGGGAAATCATTCAGCATCATCATCATCCTCACACTCCGCCGTTAATTCCCATCCTTGCTGACGTTGAGGATCCACTCCCAAGATTGGTAGACGTTCTTGTCGTCATCAGTGAAGCAAGACTTGACCACGTATTGACCTCGGGACATGATCCCCTTAGGCGCCTCGTCAGCGGGACACAGGAACTCCTGCTCTTCTGCTCGTGGGCCGTAGCTTCCCATCATGCACACGGCGGTGTTCTCTGTGGGGCAAACACAGAAAGCGTGTGAGCTTTAAGATAAAAATATATACTTGCAGTAAACAAGACAAACCAATCTGAACCTACTTCGTACTCCTTTCTTGTAGGTCACTTGACGATACTTCAGGCCAGACACAATATCTCTGTTCACCTGTAAAAAGTCTTACTGTTATTTCTTTTTTAAATACATTTTCTTCATCCCAAACTGGCTCTAAAGAAAATTTGCAAAATTCAGAGAATCCAGTTATGGGTTTTTGCAAAAGGCTGTGGCAGGATTTGTCCAGCAGAGGTCCCCACAGCACAGTTTCTCTTTGATTTGAGGAGTGCTCAAAACACACACACACACACACACACACACACACA